ACAAGAAACTGTCCAATTACTACCAATGAGAACTGAAAAAAAGGAAATAGTTCCCCATTAAAATAAACTCTCTTACCTTCCATACTGGTTCTCCAGTACTGTTTTTAACATGAGTCTCATTGAAATTCAACATACGTTTCAAAGCCACTGGAAATAAAAAGTCTCATTATAATAATACCACCATTTTTTTAGGATTTCACTTTTCCCGCACATTACTTACTACCTCAAAACAAAATGCACAAATCACACTATTAAACCTGATCGATCAAATGACTGGATATGTAGAAAAAGGGTCAGACTCTGCAAGAGCATACCATCAACAGCTAATTGGCATGTGTTTGGGATTTTCTAAAATACATAGTTATCTGTCTCTCGATGAAAATGTGAAAATGTTCAGAAAGAAGCCTTTTGCATTTCTCCTAATGATCCCACACATTTTATACAGATGTAAAAGAAATTTTGTCCATCATGAACTTGCAGTGGCCTCAATAGATAACTGATGCTGTTATCTATTATATGACTGAAATCATAAAGATCAGTTTTTCTAAAAACAAAAATTTTCTATATTTACTTCATTAATATACAAAATCTTCATATAACGGTTCTATTTTTTAGTTATCTTGGAGTACATTTTAGGACCAATTTATCTTGTCAGATTCAATGAAAAGTTATATTGCTTAATATATAAGCGCCATGGAAAAAGTGAGAATTTCCCATAGATACGGTAGATAACTGAGACTTCTTACTAAAAATATACAATATGGTATATAACTGAGACTTCCTACTAAAAAATATACAATTTCTAAAATTACACCAGTTACACTCTATATGGCATAGTATTTTGTATTTTTTATTGCTCATCTGTTCATGTGTTACGGCAGACTCCAATATACTTGGAAAATAAAAATCTCAATATACTTCTGTATGAAGTTGAGATGGCCAAATATTCAAAGGAGGGTATTCATTAGGTAATATAATTTTTAAAAGACTAGAAATACTAAAATCTCCTTGGTTATTTTAAAAAGTATTTTGGTTAGGCTTTGATAAGTAATACAGAATAATCTACAAGCCCAATTCCTACCAGAGAACTATATAATACTTGAATCACTTCAGTATCAACTTATAGCATATTAATTCACTAACCAGGAAAAAAAAACTTATATCAAATGCTTGTTTCTTGAGGCAGGTAAAATGGTTAAGAAATTGCACTTCAGTGATATATTTGTATATTTATGTGTGTGTACACACATAATATTTTGGTAAAATGTTAGTCCCTAATGCCTATCCAATAACATACATTGCCAATATTTACACCTACTTCAGAAACTCACAGGTCTTATGGTATTATATAAAAAAAAATATGCAAACAAAAAACATTTTGGAACTTTAAACTGAAAGAACACAGGAGGCATAGGTGCTCCAGGATTAATATTCCCCCTGTGCTTTAGAAGAGCACTTCCACCCACCTCCAGGTGATACAGCTACTACTACCCTGAAACTCGTGGTCTGAGAAAGAAAAGCTTGTTTCTAGGAACAGCTGTTCACACTCTTGACACAGGACAAGTAGGAAGAACCACAGCCTGAGCTGCATGTGAGCCCCAGGTGTACAGTGTTCTCCAGAGGTAGGCCTTAGCCAAATGAAAGAGGCCAGTAATAGCAGGTATTTGCCTTCACAGCCCCATGTAGAATATCCCCAACTTTGACCCTTGGCTGACTTAATAGGGATTTTGACAAAGTGGATTTGTTAATAAAGTATAAGGCCTGTGTTCAAATAACGTACAAGAACGTAATTTTATTTTCATCAGGGTAACTCCTTAAAGGCTTAAGTCAGTGCTTTTAACTGAAATGACAAACTAGTTTTCTTTATTGGCCCTAAACATACTATCTACAGTCTTAAACTTGGTTAATGTAGTTTCAACCTTACCTGGAATGTTTTCTTCACTCATTCTCTATACACACAACTACATTTACTATTCATTCAACAAATGTTTAGTGAATATTTACCATCTGTCGGACACTGCTCTCACTGTTCTAGCTGTTGGCACTCAACAAAACAGACTGAATAAAAATTACCTATCCTCAAGTAGCTTTCATTCTAGTTGGGGGAGATAGCAAAATAAGAAAAAACATGTGGTATGTGAGATCACAATAAGTGCTATGAAGAAAAAAAGGAAGGGAAGGGAGAAGGGGGAGTTTTGGTGTAATTTTAAATAGCCAGGAAAAGGCCTCCTGAGAAGGTAACATTTGAGGAAGGGAGGGAGTGAGCCACACATATCTCTGAAAGAATAGTCCAGATGAAGGAAACAAATAAAAAGGCTCTAAGGTGGGAATATTCTAGTGTGTTCAAGGAAAGAAGAGAGTGAGGTCAGAAAGTTAAGTGGGGATCAGATCATGTAGAGCCTTGTAGACCACTGTAAGTACCCTTTGGCTTTTCTAATGATTGAAACAAGCAGCAGCTGGAAAGTTTTGAGCAAATATGAATATTGTGAAAAATGAAGGGGAACAGGGATGTAAAAGCAAAGAGACCAAATAGGCAGTTATTGCAGAAATTCATACTGGGCTTGGACCTGGATGATAGCAGCAACATTCTCAAAAGGCATCAAGGAAGTGTTTACTTCTGCTATTTAAAGGGGTTAACCTTTCTCTGGAAATAAGACAGAATTCAACAAGAGTACTAAGGTGATGGATTAATCTGGCATAACCTATCTAGTAAAGTGAAATCTTGCTATAATGAAGTTTATTTCCATAGAAATCGAAATTATGCTATAAGTTTAAATTCTACAAAGTGTCTGCATATAAAAATTACTACCAAATTTAATTTTTCAAAAAGCAACTTTGTACTGGTACAGAGTCTTCCTTCACATCTTATTTTCTTTATTTTAGTATTTTAATATCTAATTCACTGAGCTTCATTAAGCTGTGAAAACCATACCTCAAAGACAAGTGGGGCTTCTATTTGCATTGATAAAATGAATGGCAGATATTCCTCAAATCTTATTTGGACTTTCATATATTTCATGTAAGTTATGCTTGACTTCATCTGATAGATTATACTAAATTACCTATTAGGAAAAGCAAAACACAACTCAGTATATACTGTGTCATTATTAGATTGAAATCTGTTATTTTTTCTTTGAATTCCAAAGGAATAAAGCACAATCAGAATCCCTTCTGTAGTTTATATTAATTGTAATCAATTATTTTCCTAGAAGATTTTTATGCAAAAAGAACATAATCACAAGAGACATAATTTCCAAGTATGCACATTCTTGATGGCTTATTTCTATTAGCTCCTCAGAATGAACTTCGTGCCAACTTTCAAGACAATTAGCTAACAGGTGTAAATCATTAGTTTATAGCTAACAGGTGTAATGCAGTTGTCATCAGAAGTTTACAAAAAAATAAGGCAAAACTAAAAATACCTAAGATGGAAAAAATATCAAAGCTCAAGGGAACAAATATGTATTTTTTTTTTTTTACTACATTTAACTGTCTAAATGGAAGCTATATAACTATGCTCTACTGAAGATGAAATATGTAGTTTTAAAACACTAATTTGTCAAACAGCTAAAATGGGAAAACTATTAATTAATTCATTTGTTTTGACATTCTTCAATCCTATTCCAGCAGGCTAAAGAAGGTAATCTTTATCACCAGGCATTTTTCTTCAGGTAGCCCCAAAATACTGGTCCAAAGGAGAAAAATGGTTGAACGTTACACTGCTCTGAAAATACTTAAATTTTGTAACTGCGGTGAAAGTGCCAGAAAATGAAACTCTTTTAACATTTAAACTGAGAGAGGGTTGAACCATGTACAGAAACAAGCCCCGAGACCTCATAGATGGCAACAGAGGGAAAAAATGTCATCTGCCAGATCTTGTGGTGATGGCTTTTTGAGGCCCAGTTGTAAAAAGAAAAGGGCAGGACCACAGCAACCCGAAGCCCCTTCTCCTGCACCAGTAACGAGGGGGCTGAGTTCTTAAGTCAATGGCATCTCTTCCCTAAAAACTCAAAGGGGGATGAGCTTTCGATGCTCCAGCAACTGGATTAAACTCCTGGAGGTCCGTCTCTCGGCTGTACGCACCGCGACTGAAAGAGGGTGACAAGCATAGGAAAAGGACATACCCACGGCAGGCACATAACCGTAGGGAGATGGTTATAAGTAAATCGGTACCTGTTTGTCTCTCTCGAATACTAGCTGCTGCAGGCGCCGCCATCTTGGCTCCCACCATCCACTGCCCGGCTGGCCGGCAGAGCCCGAAGATGACGTGGCAGCCGCAACCGCCCCGGAAGCAAAGCCCGGAGGGGCGGGGCCAAAGGAAGTTCTTTTAGGTTGGACCCCGCCTCCTCCAGGGCGACCCTCCCACCTTAACTCCCCACAGATCTCGGAGACCTACTGTGGGTTAGTGTGTTTCAGCTGCGAAATACAACTTTTTTTCCTATTTCATTAAGCTACAGCGTCTCAAATGGTAGCTGCTTTAAACTGAGCTCTTAGGGTAGGTATGAGCATGGTATAGAATTAACATAATACTGAACTGTTTGGTCCTTTACAGATCTCTAAACTGGTAAAAATACTTAGGGGTTTAAGGGTGCACAATGACAAACTTATTTTTCCACTTTCGTCCCTTTGGTAACTGTAAAATCAGAAACCATTACTTTAGGGGAGAGGGGGTAAATGGTAGGGCTGGTGCTTTAATGTACACTTGAAGCCATGTGATGACAAAATGTATCCAATACTGATTCCTAATTTAATCCGTAGATTTTTATTGGATGTCCATAATAGAGATTCAGTGACAACTCATTTACCATATGTTCGAGTTCACTGATGATACTGCATTCGCAGTTGAGTGTGTACATTCTGAAGTTGCACCAAATTCTGAAATGATATAGACCCTTTGCCTCAAAACCTGCTTTGAAAACAACTTTCAAATTTATGAGAAGTCAGTTAAAAGTTATCCTAACAATTATACAAAAACCACAATTCTGTAAAACACCAATTTCTCTATTTCACAAAAGTCATTTATTTTTATGAAACGAGACAGATGATCTTATTTTTAACACCATTAGGAAATGCCCTAGAAGTGAATCTACATTCTTGTGTAATTTTTATTTTTCAGCTTTCTGGAGGTACAGTTGACAAGTTATATAAATTTGTAAGATATACATAAAAATTGTAAGATATTTAAAATGTACATTGTGATTATATATATATACATATACACATACACATTGTGAAGATTCCCCCATCTAGTTATCACATCCATCACCATACACACATGAACATTTAAGTTCTCTCAGCAAATTTCAATTATATAATGCAATTGTTATATATTAGATCCTCAGACCTACAGTCACCACATTATATACTAGATCCTCGGCCCTTATTCATCTTAAAGCTGAAAGTCTTACTGCAATGATTTATATGGGGAATCTTAAAAATTTTAACAACTCATGGAAACAACAGAAAAGTTACCAGGGGCTGGGAGCAGTAGGGAGAGGTTGTAAAGGTTATGAACCTACAATCTTTAAGAATTGCATTATCTCTCATTTTTATAGCTTATTCACTAAGAAATTAACTGGAATACTGTTTTACTCAGTGTTATCACCAACCAATATTGTGAAGGAATCACCAATGATCTAGCTGTGTTGTAATTAAACAGAAATGACAGTTCCTGCCCTATGAGAAGATTCAACTTCATTTTTGTCTCCATGGAATATAAAATATATACTTTCTCACCTTCCAACATCTGAGAACCAAATGTTGTTTATTTGGATACTTCTACTTCCAAATGCAAATCTATCATCTAAACATTTCAACTCCAACAGACTTCTTCCTAAGACTATGAGTCATATTAAAATGCTAAGATAATGATTAACATATATATATGGTATATACATATGAAATAAAAACTGCCCTGACGAAGGAGTGCACATAGTGTGGGCAATAAATGTATAGGAAATATGCCCCACAGAAAAACAGTGGCAGTAGACAGTCTGTAAGGCTGAGACTAAGGTATTTGTTATATTTGATTATTAGAATCAAAAATGATTAAAACAAACTGTGGCTTCAGAGTGTCAGTTAATTTATTCTACTCTTTTAATTGATTACATATGCAGATTTTTGGCTTAAATAATTTATTCTGGCAAACTATTATTTTACATTGAGGGATAGATAATTTTAACACAGAATACCTGAGAACAGCTCATTCAAGAGAGGTTCCTAGGTGTTAACCAACAGCTGTTTATAGGATCTCTCAGAAGTAGAGAGGAAAGGATCTTGTATCTATTTAATACTGTCAGAACCTTAACTCTTTTAAATCCTAACAAGTTACTTGTAGGATACTTATATAAGCACTTTGCATTTAGTAGCATAAACATTTATTTAGAAAACTTCATTATAAATGTCATTTTTTTTTTGGCTACATCTGATGTCTTTAAAAAAGGGAGGAAATATGCTGACATATAAACTATCACCTAGCACAATACAGTAGGTATTGGAATATGTTTGGCAACTGAAAAAGATAAGTCAAAATGAGAACTTGCAAACTGGGTCTCTTAAAAGCAATCCAAATATTCCTAAACTACATGTAATACACATTTGGGTAATCCATCATTCAATGTGTTCTTATGCTTTATATTGCATTACTTGAAACATAAAACAAGTTTAATAGCTTATTATAAAAATAACAATGAAATGTGATAATCACCATATAAAGATCACATATTTATAAATAGAATCTTGTTCTAATCATTTTCTTATAATGACAATGCTAAAAGAAGTCACTGAGAAAACTTATGTATGATACTCTACTTAGCATTTAGCATTGAGTACAAAAGTTCCACTAGCTTCCATACAATTAGGGGAAAAAATTATAAAAAGTTTTGGTATAAAGTAGAGACCAAAGTGATTTCAGGTTAGTAATCAAATGAAGGCTTTTTACTTGACCCAAACAAAAATGGCTTATTCATAATATAGAAATTAAATATGACAAAATACAAAATCATAAGCTACTTTCTGATGCTATTTTAAGAATCTTTACCTTAAATATTAAAACAGCCAACTATAAGAATAGCAGAGAATTATAATAGGCTTTCAGATGAACTTCACACTCCAAAAAGTTTAAAAACTACTTAAAAACAATATAAAACTAACTAAACACCATTAACAGTAGATGCATGATAGGCAAATTTCAGGTTTTTCTTGATACTGAGAGCAATAAAAAACAAGCTTGAAACATACGGCATTCAGAGGATTGAAATATTTAAGAAATACATATACCCATTTATAAAGGTTTATAGCATGATTCCTTTTTAAAATCAGCATCACTAAGAATTGTGCACTGGCTATAACAATGAAAAGAAAAAGAACAATCACAATACCATTTGACATAGTAACACTGCAGAAAATAAATAACCTACAGGTTTCTCTGATGTGTCCTGACAATACAGATTAATCTCAAAAAATCATACTAATGCAACATCATTAAAACCAGAAAATATTTTTTGATATGAATATTTATGCTTCACTTTAAAACATGAATATCTTAAATTATTATTTATACCACCTAATCCCTAAGGCCCTGTCTACCCATAAAATAAGTGAAAAGAGGAACTGAAATACTGTTTTTAATTATAGCCAAACCAAGCATGACGCCTCCGTCCCATCCCTCCCCACCCAAAAAGCGAGTGAGTGCTCATCAGCTTTATTTAACCACGGTAAGGAAATTAATAAAAACTACAAATAGCCACAACATAGCTTAAATTAGCTTTTGTGGTTTGGATTGGTTTAATGGCTTTTTAAATTTTATAAAAACTAGATAGGTTAAGAAATAAAATATCCAATTTATCAACATATTTGGAATAAAAGGTATATGGCAAGTTTGAGGTTTATATTACAGGCCCTTTAATTACTTTCAATAATCTAAATTCAACACAAGACAAAGGAATCCCTTGCTTAATGTTCTTAAAAACTTCAAATGAAAGTGAAACTTTTATTTGCTGAGTCTGTTAGTAAAAGAAAACTACACTAGGATTATGTCTTAGTTTGCCTTTGAAATTGAGATATATTGCCAGTACCAAATCAATTATGTTGTTTTCTTTAAAAATATCAATAACTTAAGGATGTTTCTTGGGAAGAATGAGATTATGATAGCTGATACCTGCATTTGTATCAAGAAAAATGTGGTTACGACCAAGCAATTAGCTTCTCATATGATTTACTTTGGTAGAAAACCCATTTATATTTGCTAATAGATTAGGGATATTAGACTTTTCTCATTTCTTCTTTTGCAAGCGTATAAACTGGGGGTGTGACTATGGGACTATATACCTTTAAATTGTTATTATGTGGTTTCTTGTTACTTAGGTATTCTTTAACTTATAGTAACATTAATAAAGTTAAAAAAGGAAACAAGTTTATAGAAAAATACACAAACAGTAAATTCTGCATGGTGAAATCAGAGTGGATTTTTCATTCTATTTGTATTTCTTTCTTACATGTTTCTACATTGCCTATATCATAACAGATACCTTTCAAGAGCAAAGAAGATAGCTATATAATGCAATGGTGCCAGCTTACCTATCTTACAACCATCTCAATAATAAATAACTGTCAAATAGCCAAACCTATCACATGGCAACTCATAGATATCAGATACCTAAAATAATTATGGATCAGACATAATGTGGTTTAATACCGAAAAGAAAAAATCCTATGATTAAAGCCAAGGCTTTAAAGAAGACACTTTTAGGTATTTTCAACTATATTTTATCCACCTCAAAAGTGTTTTTAAGACTATGGAATGTCCATAGATTGTAGAATATTTGTGCAATTTATGTAATAAATTTTTATGTAATACTTCCCATTAGGCATAATCTAATTGCAGTGTACGTCTATTTTAATATAAATCAATAATCTAGAAACACTTTTAACAACGAATTTCATGCCATCCTAGAAAAGGATACATATAACCCATACCCCAGAATATATGTCTTTGATTTATGTAACAGGATTTATCAATTAGCTTTTCTATTTAATACTTTAAAATAATAATTTGGAAATTGCATAAAGCTAGAGAAATAATTGTGGCATCCTAATACTAATCCAGATTTACAAAAACAGCGAGTATACGTTTTGTCTTATATATACCATGCTACTATACTTGAAGTCTGTACAGCCATTCTAAAAGTATTTATATTGAAGTTTATGAAGCATGTATATTAATAGAAAAACATCAACTTTCACCTTAACAAAAAATTTTTAGCTTAAATGGCCAAAACATTCTTTTATGTTCACATCATAAATTTTATTGGCCCAAGAAGCTGACAAGTTTGTTCAAAAGTGATGATGGACAGATTTCTGAAACAAAAAGTATCAAGAGCAGCTTTTAAAGAAGGATGTCTTTGTTCAAAACATCTTAGTGTTCAATGTGAGAACTTTCTTCTTTTTCTAGTCTTAGAGTGTTTCTTATGGAAAAGTCCATTTTTTCTTGAAATTCTTTATATGTATTGGTGATTGGAAGAGCTAAACAGTTATTACATTTGTTTCCAACGGGAAAATCCACATGAAGGCACTCAATTGAAGGAGTAGGTTTAAATCCAGCAGGTGGAATAGAATTGCAACCAGTTGCAAAAATAAGAATATCTTCCATTGTTGTTGCAGTTTTACCATCTAAAAAGTTTATCAAAAGGAGAAAAAGAAAAATAAATTCATTATCTATTGCTGCTATCATAGACTCATCCCCAACTAGCCTGGAGTGTTGAAAAGCAGAGACTCTCATATTTATTTTGGGCAAACTAAATCACTAAGTCAAATGTAGTATGTAAGGAAAACAGTATAATCAACAAATGTTTATTTGAATCTCAAAGTAGGACTCACAAGATCATTTAGTTGAACTACTCACTGTATATTTTAATGCTTTCTCTAATATGAAATTATCACAGAGTCCAAGAGGTTCAGTAGGTTTTGAAACTCCATCTTTTTGGGATATGATACTAAAAACAATTTTAAACAACTTCTACATCATCACTATTTGACAAACTAGTTCAACAAATGCAGAGAAAAAATAAATGGTGTAAAACAACCTTGTTAAAATTAAACTAAAAGTTAAATTTTTCTCACTCTATTAAACAAAATTATTTTACATTGCTAATGCTCAATGATGAATATCATTATCATAGCCCTAACCAATGGACAAAGAATAATTCAATTTAACTTAAATTTGAAAGAGAGGAAATAAACAATTAGCTTTCAGATATTTTATGCAGTGTTAATCACTCATATATTTAAAATTCCTAGGAAGGATGCCTTTCAAAACCTCAAATTATCTAGAGGAAAACAAATTGCAAAATATAACTTTACTCTGTAAAGCTTCCTCATCACTTTCAACTCAGTCACATAAACTTGTTTGAAATGTTTTGTAAATATGGAATTAACAGACGAAAAGTCATATTATCAAAAAGCAAAACTCAAATAAACTAATATCCTGAAATAAACATTCTAACAGAGTTAGCTAAAAACAAAACATTCACATACCCTCAACGGCCTGTACATAACTGTTCCAAAACCCCAAAGCTTGTGCATCAGGTAATGCGTGTACTGTAAAAAGATCACTAAGGATTTTTGCGGAAAGATTCTCAGGTTTATGACAAAAGATGCCATAAAATGCTTCCGGATAAGTCTCAATTTTCTCCAAAACACCAAGAGTTTTCAGACCCTGCTTAAAACTTAAGAGAAGAAAAGTAATGAGCCAACATTCATACATGTGTTTGGTATTACAATAGGGAATTAACATTTCTAGCTAATTTACTACCATATATACATAGATATGAGGAAAAAGATAAAAATATGGGTATACTATACATGATATACTTTCAAATCAGTAATAAGCAAATATATTAATATGAAGATTGTTTTATATGGTGACATTTTGCTTTAGTTTTAAAATTAAGCCAATAATTTTTATTAAGAGAAAAAAAGACATCTGAAGTATTTTACATTTCAAAGCTAGTTAGTATAAAAATGAAGTTTCTTAGAGATTGCAAAGAGTGATAAACCCTAGCCACATAAAAATTTAAACATTATGTATTGCTAAAAAGAAATTAACAAAGATAAAACAGTGAGAAAATATTTTATATACATAGCAGAAAACTAACGTAATGTACAAAAATGCAAATCATTTTTATAAAGAACAATCCAATAGGAAATGAACAAACTATGAATGCATAATTAACAAATTACAAATAACAAATGAATTGTTTTTAAAGGCACTATCTCGCTAGTAAGCAAAGGAAGGAAGGTACCATTTTTGTCTATCAGACTAAGCCCTGCCTGTGGTTCTGGACTCCCTACCCACCTCTCCAGGTACCCTACACACTGATTCACCTTCCTTTCTATTGGCTCTTCCTCAAGAGCATGTAAATGTGCTTGTTTTTCCCATCCTTGAATAAGGAAAAAAATTCACTCAATTCCATCTGTTTTCCTTTGCGAGAACCTACTTGAATGGTTTATCTACATTCATTGTCTCCATTTCTTAATTTCCTATTCACTTTTCCTCCACTTGTCTACATATCAGGAAAAACTGCCCTTAAGAAGTTCATGAATATTCTTTTCTACGGCACCAGTCTCCTGGTTTCCCCTTTTTCCTCTAGACAGATCTTTCAATCTCTTACAAAAAGCTTCTTATTTCTTTACCTAAAATATTGCTGTTTTTTCCCTCATGAATCTCTAACAATGCCAATTTCTCCATGGCTTTATTTAGCAGATGTATGTTATCTCAGCCCAGAAATATATCCAACAGACTACTCGGTACCATGTACGCCAAGCACCCAAACTTATTACATCCAAAAGAAAGCTATTTCTTACTACCAAAATCTGAACCATAAGTGACAGTAAATGCCTCCATTATCTGTCAAATTAGTACAGTTAAATCTGAAAGTCATCTTTAACCCTTCCCAATTGCCAAGTCCTATGAATCCTCCTCTCTGAAATTTCTTATACCTGCCCATTTCTCCATATACCCATTACCACTGTATTACAAACTACTTGCAGAGGAACTGTTGTACCAGATATGTTCATTTCAAAGTTCAATTTCCATGCTATAGCCACAGGTATGTGCCAGAAATAAATCCCAATACTGTCATTCATCCTGAAGTAGGCTGAATGGATATCTCCCAAAAGATATGTCCACATCCTATTCTCTAAAACCTATGAATGTTACCTTATTTAGAAAAATGGCCTAAGCAGATATAATTAAAGATCTTGTGATATCCTATCGAGATTACCCGGGCCGGCTATAAATCCAATGACAAGTGTCTTTACAAGAGACACACAGAGAGGAAAAGGCCATGTGATATAGATTTAGAGAATGTGAGTTATCCAACCACAAGCCAAGTACTGACAGGAACTTTCAGAAGCTGAAGAAGCAAAGAACAGACTGTCCTCCTAAATTTTCAGAAAGAGTATAGCCTTGCCGATACCTGGATTTTGGACTTTGAGCCTCCAAAACTGTGGGAGAATAAATTTCTGCTGTTTTAAGCCACTCAGTTTGTGACATTTTCTTTACAGCAGCCAAAGGAAATTGACACACACTCTTGTCCATGAAACGAAATCCAAACTCTTTAACATGGCTTCCAGGGCCCTCCATTATCCCATCCTTGCTTTTCTTTCTTGCCTTTAACTTTTACCTTCAGCTTACCTTTGAAGCAAATTTTAGCCAAACTTAAGTTCACCCTTAAAATTTTACTTTTAATTATGAAATATTTCAAGCTTACATAAAAATTCAGGAAATAACAAAACCACAAACTGTCACTAGATTTAAAGAGATACTTAACGTTTTGTTATGCTTGCTCAGATTTTTAAAAAATATTTACTCAACTAAATCCTACCCACCCATCACTCTTTCTTCTCTCCCTTTACAAACAAAACTATTTGAAATTGTTATTTACCTACTATCCTGAAACTTTTACTTTAGCCTGCATTTCATTTTAGTTTCACTATATATATGTACCCCTAGAAAATAACTAGAATTGCTGTGATTGTTTTGAAACTTTCTATGATTGGTACCATACTGTATATTTATTTTTCTGCAACTTGCTTCTTTGAGAGTTATTTTCACTTATTGTAATTTATATATTTGGAAACTATTTCTATCACTTTATTTTGGGCAACTGTACTGCCTTCAAAAAGTTTTTTTTATTCCTTCCTGCTTTTTGTATTGATTTTTTAAAATTCCAATATCCTTCTATTTTAAGTTATACTAATTATTTTTTAAATAGTAGCTTCTCAAGATTTTAATAGGCATATTTAAAATCTAAAGTGAATCAATGTACAGCAGTTCCCCCTTATCCTCTGGGGATATGTTCCAGGATCGCCAACAGAAGCCTGAAACTGTGCATAGTATTGAACCTTATACATACTATGTTTTTTCCTATACATAAATACCTTTCTCCTTACTAGTCAACTTCAACTCTGCTGGAAATGTGGCAGCAGTTTCTTCATAGGCAGACACAGCCTCTCCAGTAATTTTTATATTTTTCAGTCCAAACCTATTCCTGAATCTGTGTAACCATCCCTTACTTGCAGTAAATGGCTCGGTGTTACTTGTTTCAGGAGATCCTTGCTTAAAGTCTTCGTATAGACTCAATGCTTTGTGGTGTAACATGTTGCCGTCAATCAGAACACGTTTTCTGTTCATGTCTTCCATGCACAAATTTAATCTTAGTTTAGTTTTCATGCACCATGGCTGTAACTTTTGCAGTTTGAGGTGTGACAGCAAAACTTCTTCACAATTTCACAGAAGATTCATTTTTACTGTAGATCTTAGCAATCTCACCATTTTTGTTTATTCCTTATTAAGATCAAGAACATTCACTTTTCCACTTAAAGGAAGCACTTTATAGCTTCTTCTGAGCATATCAAAATTGCCAGCATCATTACTCTTGCACTTTGAGGCCATTAAGTAAAGTGAGGGTTATTTACCTGAACACAAGCACTGCAATACTATTGACAGTCCATCTGAAAACCAAGATGGCTACTAACAGGTAGGTAGTATACATAGAGTAGTTACACTGGACAAAGGGATGATTCGCATCTCAGGCAGTGCGAAATTTCATTGTTCTACTCAAAACTATGTGCAATTTAAAACTTATGATTTCTGGAATTTTTCCATTTAATATTTTCGGACCGCTGTTGACCAAGAGTAACTGAAACTGAGGAAAGCGAAGCTGTGAATGGGGTGGAGGGGACTACTGTATTTACCTTCTTCCTGAACAATACAAAGACCTATAGCACTTAAAGCTCTTAACAGTCCTCACTCTTCCTATGCTACCTAAAATTTTAGTTCCATCCTGTACAATCAGTTGTCTTTACCAATTTCTCTCTGTTGCTCTGCTAGGACCTCCAGCATATTGTGGCAATGGAAAGGGATAATGATGTGTATCCTAGACTTGTCATAGTCTTAAGCGGAATGCCTGTAACATTTCACCATTAGAGATAATGTTTGCTAAATGTTTAGAAGATATTCTTTATAATGGCACTTCAAATTGTTAGTTTAAAATTATGTATAAATGTTTAAATGTATCAAATGCTTTTTCTCTATCTAAAATTGTATGATTGTATATTTTTTCTCCTTTGATCTATTAGCAGGATACACTAAAGAATTTTTAATGTTGTATTTGCCTTAATTCTTTTTATAAACCTATAAACCCTCTTCAAAAGTGATACTTTTATTCAGTGCTATTTTAGACCCTAATTATTTGTGATTAAACTATTAACTCCTAAGAGACCTATGTTTAAGACATCTCGCTATTACAGCATAATTAACAATTTCTCAGGGTTATTCTGTCAGTTGTTGCTTTACATATTTTGAGGCTATGTTGTTAGGTATAAATAGATTCAAGACTGTTTAATGTTCCTAAAGAATCTGTTCTTTTTAATACTATTATTACGATCATTTAAGGACAAGATTTTTAAAAAGAGAATTAGAATCTCATTAATTTTTTATTTTCCTTTAAAGTCATTTATTTAAAATGCAATTTCTTTTAATACAAGAGTTTAAGCTATTAACATCTATTATAATCACCAATCTATTTAGATCATTTTTCTACTTTATAGTGTGCTTTCTCTGAATGTGTATGCTTGCTTTTATGCCTATTTCCTGTATATTATAAGATTAAATGTTTTATTTCTTCTCTGATCCCTACCAAATTGGAAATTACAGACTCTAATTCTGTTATTTTAGAATTTCCTCTTAGAAGATATATACCTGATTTAACAAGCTAGAGCTAATTAATGCTTTCCCAGTATTACCTCAAAATGCAAGTCCCTTAAAACAATAAATCCAATAACACACATTAATTTTTCTCTAACATTTTAATTATTTTAACCATTTCTTACCAAAATTTAGTTGTTTTATTAATGGCAAATGCTTATTTTTATTTATTCAGGTTTTTCCCATTTCTGTGCGCACTGCTGCTTCTTGAATTTTACTTTTCCCTTCTGGATTCAATTTCCTTCTTAAGTATATATTTTATTAAACCTTTAGAAGTAAACATCCCACAATGTCTTTTATTCCTCCTCACTCTTGAATGATAATGTAACTAGTTCTGTGAAGTTATTACCATAGCTATTTTCATTGTTGACATTACTAAAAACACTGCTTCAGTATAACTGACACTTCATTTTTACAACGTATTTTTGCTCAGAATGCAGTTTTAGCACAAAGCACACTACTTTGGCTCATCAAGCCCCATGAACCTGAGGAACTATTCAAGCAGCATTTTCTATAATATTGCCCTGCCTCCATCTTGTTTAGTTAAATATATGTGTGGGTGCTCTTCATCTTTCATGACACCTCTTGTTTTCAATCTTTTTTTCTGTTATGAATATCCTTATTCCTCTTTCAGATCACTAGTTTTCAACTGCCTAGCACTTAACAATTACCTATTTTTTAGTTCCATGATTATTTTTGTTTCCTTTTTCTTGTCCTCTTGTGAGTTACTTGAATTCTTCAGATTCTATTTTTATCTATAGTGCTGTTAAGCGTATCTCGTTGTAGTTTTAAAAAATACAACAGTCGACTAGTGTCAAAATTTTACAAGCCTTACTTCCCTTTAAGTCTGTCTTTCCGTTTATAACGTATTTTCCTAAATATTTCTTCTACATACATTGTGAACATTATGAAATGTTATAATTTTTGCCTCAAATATCAAACATAATTTAGAAAATGCAAGCGAAAGAAACACGCTTTTATTCTTTTAATTTTTTCTTCCTTCCTGATGTTCCAAGATTCCAACCTTAATAATTTCTTTTTGCTTCAAAAGATTCCTATAGGCATTCTTTTAGGGTAGTAGGTCTGCTAGTACAAATTTTCTTTGTTTTGCTTCATATGAGAATGTCTAGATTTCTTCTGTTCGGCTGTGTTGCTCCTTGGGTCTTGAGATCCCCAGCTAGTCTGCTTTTACCTCTTCACCTTTCAGTCTTATGTTTGTTTTATACATAATATCCAGAGTTTTTAATCTAACTTAGCAGAAGGAATAGAGAGAAGTGTGTCGATTCCATGTTATCCAGAACTGAAGTCTGTGACCATTTTTTAATGGAGAAGTATTATTTGATTCATTTTCTGCCCCCCCCCCCAATTGTTTTCTCTTTTAAATCACTGTAGTGGTATTTTATTTCATTCAATTTTTGTTATTTAGATACTTGAGTGCTATTCCCAATACTTGCTTTTTTGGATGGTTGTGTGTTTTCTCTTCCTATAATCCTCTTCTCTAGCATTCCCATTAGTCTCAGGCTGTAGACATTTTTCTACACAGCTGCTATGTATTTGCTTCTGCCTGGTACTCTACAAGCGCTATGAATCCTAAAACCAATTACTTGGTTAATTTCTTTGCTTCAGATTGGGGTGTATGCAGGATGTCAACCCAAGTTTGGGGAAACTGAGGGTTTTGATTTCATATGACAGTTATGGTAATTTGGCTTTTGGTTTCCTTGTTATTTCTGACATATGTAGAACTCTTTTGCTATGAGCTCATATATAATTAGAAGATTGTTTTTGCTGTATGATTTTTTTATCTTTTACATAGGAGAGATTATTAAGCCTTTTCTCTTGTTCTCTTCATCTTATCTGCCAAACTCCTATTTATCATTTGATTTTAATTTAAACACCACTTATGTAGATAGAGAAGCCTTTCCTGACATCTAGAATAGTCGTATCTATAAACACAAAACAAAACATAAGAGAAATAAACAATGGTGAATTCTGACTTAGCAATAAGAAAAATCCATCTGCAGATACATCTTAAGGAAAAAAAGTATTGTGTATACCTTGTTAAGAGATGCATTTTAAATCATTTAAAAATAACCACATCAAAATTTATACTAAATTGGATTATTCTGTGTATTCTGTGTATTAACCATAATTATAAATGGTAATTCTGTTCATAAGAAAATTTTATTAAAGAGTCTTAAAGTTGGAGGACATTTGGCTACATTTAAAAGATTGAGTTATTTTAAAATGCAATATTAAAAATATATTGGAAATTATATCCTCTGAAACTAAGTTTATGGTGTCATATTTTAATTTGTAAAAGTGTCATGACATCCCAAATGTCCACCAATAGGAAACTGGTTGAAAAAATGACATATCCAGACAATGGAGTTCTGTAGAACTCTAAAACAGATTGATTATATTTATTTACTACCATGGAGTGATCTCCAGAATATATTGTTAAATAAAAAATAAGTAGAAAAAAAGAGTGTATGGTATCTTATCTAATAAGAGAAATGAGTACAAATATACTCATATATTTATCTGCTATCATTTAAAAACACATTGGAAGGATAAACAATAAAAACCATTAAAATGATTTCTTCATAAGGAGTAGAAGGCAGATGCAATAAGAATGAAAACTATACTTCTTTGAATACAATTTTAGCATAGAGCTGAGTTCTTTCAGTATACTTTTATTATAGATTTGACTTTGGAACCATGCAAATATTTTACGTTTTAAAAATTTTAATAAAAATCGCTAATACTAAAAATTAAAAAATGAAAAAAATGTGGAACCAGTTAGTAGTGTAACAACCCAGAAAAAAACTATTACAAATCACTTTCAAACACAATTTCAAACACATGTAATTTGACTACATGGCCCTAGAACAAAAAAATAATAATTTAAACCTGTTTTCAATAATATTGTTATTGGTGATAATGTTGGTATTGTTATTCTGAAACTATTGTTTATAAAATGTGGACTAAGTCAATTGAGTAATTATTTCACAATCTAATTCTCCAGTGCCTTTGAGAACTGAGATTTTCAACATGGTACAAAGAAAAAGTTAAAAACCTTGTGGTAGTGAATTAAAAGTGTCAGTATAAACTCATGATATATTTTATCTTAAAATATCAAAACAAAACAAACCAAAAATCCCGGTAGTTCCTAGTTTTGGTCCACTAAAAAGACCTAGAAACAATGATCAACCTGGCAAAAATGAGCATCCCTAGTGTCCAGGTTGTAGTTTTGAAATACCATTTCCCATTCAAAGAAACAAAGGTTCTTTAAGCCAGAATGACAAAAGAGACTGAAACATGTTGTCATACCATATAGAAAGATTGTTATTAATGACCGTTAAGGGTCAACATCAAAAAAACTCAAAGAAACAACATAAAAAGGCTTATACTGGCCAAAGATGAAACAATTTGAACTTCAGTAAGGATAATAACTGAACAGTTGTAAACACAATTATATTTAAATCTGTGAGTTAATGCTACTGAAATTTTAAAAAAAGATCATTTTTGATAATATGATGTCTGGTAATTGCCTGAAAATAATAACAAGGATAGGATACATTAACAAGATTGGCCACAGGTTGATTAATAATTGTTAGATCTGGATGATGATTACATGATGTACCATTCTGCCTACTTTCATATTTATTTTATATTTTCCATTATTAAAAAATAGAAGAGTATGAGGACATATATATGTTTTCAAACTTCTTTCAAGTGTTATTAGAACAAAAAGTTTGAAGACTAGTGCTGCAAACTAAAGAGCAAGAATCACATCTACTCTGTTTATCAAAGAATGCCCAGTACCTATTTTACCCATGGGATGACAGTTGCTCAATATATAGTTATTAAATGAATAGAGATGAAATAGTTAGCTTATGTGGTAAGAATTTTTAAAATAATTTGTATTTAGAAAAATAATTATAAATTGAGATAATAATTACTTTCCTACCTAAGCATCATACATTTTTGCAATTCTATATAGAATGGTCAGAACAGAAATCATCCTTAACAAGTTAGTTTTAAAGCATTATTTTAAAATAGCATTTGTTTTTATCAACTATATTTCACATTATAAGACAATTAGCCAATTTGAATCTGTAATTTGAGAGAATATTTCACATATAAATAACTTACCTCTCAAAAGGTGCTTGTACTCTCTTAATTACATGGTAAACAAGAATGTCTTTTGCCAATATATATTTATCACTTAATGATGTTATAAGCCTTAGACATCCAATAAGTTCGAAGTAGTTATAGTATTCACTCATAACTGAGTTTAAGTCAGCTACATTTGTTGCAGTATTTATCTGTAACAAAGAAAATATACTCAGTTTCCCTTTCATTTGTGAATGATATTTACATTTCAAATGACACATTACTTTATTCTCAATTCTTGAGTACATCAGAGTGGAGTGAAAGTATACCAAGAATTATTTTTCTAGAATAAATATCTGACAATCCAGTTTAATAAACATTGTATATTTCTGCCTTCAAGAAATCTAGAGTATAATATGTCACTTTAATATAGGAAATTATTTATAAAAAAGGCAATAACTGACATAGGACAGTTACAAAGCACTCAGAGGCAAGAGAGATGACCTGAGATTTCATGAAAGATAAAGAGTATCAGCTGAGAATTGATAAATACAATCAAAAGAGTATTTCCTGGAATAGCATAAACAAAGAAATACATGGCCACTTATGTGCTAGACACTTTCATATGTTAGCTCTTGAACAAAGTTACAGAGGGAGAAAGATAAAGATAGGAAGTAGTCAATAGTTCATAGAATGAAAACTTCTTTGCTATTTCTTCTTGCTATTTCCAAAAAACTCTTCTCCCAGAGATTCACGATTCCCTCATTCATTTCAGATCTCTGCTGAAATCTACTTCACACTCTGTCAGAGACTAATACTTGGGTATGTGCTGTCTCATCCTTCCAAACCCACCACCCTGAGTTTTAGCTGGGCACAAAGCCAAACTTTCCTTGCAGATAGATGTGGCCATATGTGACTAAGAGCTGTCCAATG